CCGTAACGAAACAGAATATGCTTATAATACTGACATGACATTAGAAAAGTTCATCAAATTTAAATGTACATCTGCTAAAGCGAAACGCTTGTTCCATAAGAAGAAACGAGATAGTTGGAAACAATTTTGTGACAGTCTCACACCTCGCACACCTTCATCTCTTGTTTGGCGTAATATTAATAGGTACCGAAAGGCATGTATTTCTCGAGGCCCCTCAGCAATGTCAAAGGAAACAGTAGAAATATTATTTGACAAACTGGCATCAGTACCGGCTCAAGACGTATGACTCACCAGCCTTAATAATTTTACCGTTCAGGACAGTGTTTTAGATGATACATTTACCATGGATGAATTAAACATCACTCTTTCTAGTGTACGTGACTCCTCCCCGGGAGTTGATGGGATTCCTTATTCATTCATTAAGAATGCTGATCCATCATTGAAACGGTACTTTTTAGACATACTAAATTACATTTACAAATTTTGCACACTGCCTCCTAGTTGGAAAATACAAATTATTATCCCTATATTGAAACCCGGTAAACAACCAGATAATGCAGAAAATTATCGCCCTATTGCCCTATCATCCACACTTATGAAACTATTAGAACACTTAATAAAAAACAGGATAGAATGGTTTGTGGAAAGTAAAGGACTTCTCTCCAAATCCCAGTTTGGATACCGCAAGGGTTTTAGTACACTGGATAGCATAGGAACACTTGTAATGGATGTGAGGGCTTCATTTGTTAAAAAACAGTCAGTGGTAGGAGTATTCCTTGATATCTCAGCTGCATATGATAACGTTTGTCTTTCAGTACTCAGGCACAAGTTGCAAAATCTGAATATCTCAGCAAAGATGATCCGGATTATATGCAGTCTACTAATGGAAAGACAAATCAGCCTCCGTGCTCTAAATAATCCCAGTCAAGCAAGAACTGTCTGGACAGGTTTACCACAAGGCTCAGTTCTAAGTCCCTTGCTATTTAGTATTTATACTCATGATTTACATCTATCATTGAATGACAATTGCCGCATACTTCAATATGCAGATGACTTGGCTCTATACATCTCTGATAAGGATATTTCCTCTGCTGTATCCTCTATGCAGATATCGCTCGACTCTCTTAATACGTGGCTTGAGGAACATAATCTTAAATTATCACCTACAAAAAGTAGAGTTGTCATATTTTCCAGAAGACGCTCAATACCTGGTTTTGCTCTGGAAATTGCTGGTATCCCTATCCCAACAAACAATAAGGTGAAATTCCTTGGTGCGTACTTAGATTCAAAGCTGACAGGTGTTCCCCACTTAGAATATATAATAGCCAAATGTGAAAAAAATATTAACATCCTTAGAGCTCTAACTGGCGTCTGGTGGGGTGCCCATCCGTATAGTCTAAAGCTAGTATACAATGCACTGATAAGAAGCGTTATGGACTACGCAATTTTTATACTCTTACCATGCAATAAAATGGCTATACATAAGTTAGAAGGCATTCAGTCAAGGTGCCTGCGTATAATAACAGGATGCATGAGATCATCTCCTCGTAATGCCCTTCAGGTAGAATGTGTAGACCCCCCTATTCTATTGCGTCAGCAATATCTATCTGACAGATTCTTATATAAAGCATTTTATATCAGCAGTCATCCCATACTAACATCTGTAACGGAACTGAGTGATCTCTCTCCTGTTAATGTTCCACCGATTATCAAAAGTTTTCGTAGACTGAAAGAACTGATGGAACATGCGCCTATGAACAGGGTAACTAAGTGGCCGTTATATAAATATAGTTATGGCGCATTAATATTTCAACCGAACGTAATATTAGAGACTGGCATACATAAAAATACAATCGAAGCAAATTTGGAATTTAACATTTATGTTGAAAATTACTGGAAATATCATCACCGCTTTTTTACAGATGCCTCTAAATTATCAAGTACAGGTTGCACAGGATTTTCTGTGTATTACCAAAACTCAAAAATAGCTATGCAGTATCAGTGTCCTCCGATATGTTCGGTCTATACAGGAGAATGTTTAGCAGTACTAGAGGCGTGTCACTTTATCGAGGCACACAATATTCATAAAAGTGTCATATTTTCGGATGCTTTGAGTTGTATGCAATCCCTTAGAGGGAATCAGTTTAAAAGCAGATCCCGAAGTACCATCATATTGGACATCAAAGCTAAAATAAAACAATGTGCAGATAGGGGGATAGAGATTGCTTTAATTTGGATTCCTGCTCACAGTGGAATTATAGGCAATGAGTGTGCAGACTCACTAGCAAAATTTGCAGCTAGCTATGGTGGAGATAGAAAGTACTACCAAATAGATTGTAGTGATATTACAGCCTACCCTATAAAAGACCTCCGTGATGCTTGGACAAATAGTTGGAAAGATTCCTCAAAAGTTACTGGTCGATTTTACTATTTTATTCAACCAAACATACCTGTAAAGCCTTGGTTCGCCAAATATAGAAAATTGCCGAAAAATATTGTTTCTATATTATGTAGGTTGCGCATAGGGCATTGTTGCTCACCAGTATTTTTACATAAACTTAGAATCAGAGATAACTCCCTTTGTGAATGTGGATATGAGGAGGGAGATTTAAACCATATTTTCTTCTCTTGCCCACTAAACCGCTCCAATTTAGTGTATCCACAGCTTATTAAAGAAAAAATTCCCCTGCCAGTCAACTTAGCGAATATTTTAAAAATTTCCTTTGAAAATCCTAATGTTTTATGGATAATTGTAAATTTCATTAAAAGTAATAACATTAAAATCTAAATATGTATTAATTAAATAAATTGTAACCTACTTACAAAATATATCTACCTATATATTATATATGTACTCTATTAACTACTAACCAAATTTGTGTTGTCCTTTCCAGTTTCTACACCAGAAAGACTAAAATTACTTAGTATTTTGGATATACTTTTTGTCTCCAGTGCGTGCCTCTGATACATGACGCTGGCATAAATGGTCGTTAAAATAACGACCGATTGCCATAGAAGAAAAGAAGAAGAAGAAGAAGACACTATCGTGACGTAGGGCATCTCCTAATAAGAGAAATAGGTATTTAAGCGACTTATACTTCGCTAGTTAGACTACTTAGTAAACATAACGTTTTATTTTAGGGTTTCCTTCTCTAAATCCTCGTATTTACCGGTTTCGAAATCCTGAAAATGAAAAAGAGTCGTGAGTCATATGAGTGTGCAATTGATATATGTGATATTTCGATATCAAAGTGTTCATGTAAATTGATTAGGAGATAATAAATTATTTTAATAACGGAGACAAAAATAATTCATACCAAAAAAAGACAATCAAATTTACATGTAAATAGGTGTTGTTGAACTTCTATTAAAAATTATTCAATCAAAAACAATAATTGATTACAATTGAAACAGAAGAATTTATATCAAATAATGGCTATAATTTCCTTGTAAATATACCTACTCTAAATCGCAAAGCAATATCGCATTGTTGATATATTGTTTACATTGTAGTGCAGTACCGTTCCTATCATTATGATGGTGTTTATAACCTGAATCATGTTATCGGATGCCGTCAATACGACTATTCGTAGCAATACCATTTTACTAGACTATCATACAGTATTTGACATAGTATGACGTGATGGTATCATTATGCAATAGTGCAATGATGACTCACTCGTAAATCTTGCGAACTGGTAAGGCTTGTAGAAATTGATTTGCGATATTGTTACTCAAACAGACTATCTATACAAATAAATAAAATTGGAGTGTCTGTTTGTAATATTGAAATAACAGTTTCTTTACTACATTCATATGAATATAAATACGGCACATACAACAAAATAACATTTTTTACAATTTTTGCCTGTCTGTCTGTCTGTTTGTTCCGGCTAATCTCTGAAATGACTAGACCGATTTTGATTTTGTAGTTTGTATCGATTTGAGTGTTTTCTATGTATACTGTATCTGTATTTATATATATATATATATATATATATATATATGTATAGGTAAGTATTTATATCAGTGCAAGCTCTGCTTAGCTTACCTTGTAACTAGAGGACGTGGTGTGAATTATTATTATTTTATCTAAAAACATATACAACGCATATACATATATTCATACCATTCATAACGATTAGTTGAGACAAGAATATACAGATGATACAAACAAATCTATTACTGTTTAGTTGGTATAAATTGAATTATATTCAGATGAATGAGACGGAGTGAAGTATCATGATATTTCTTGCTCTAAGGATCGTAACTCCATTGTTGTGGCAATTATCTACATAACTCAAAGGCTTCAAGTTCCAAACTAAATGAGATAGGGTCTTGAAATTCATATATAACATATGATTGTTTAGTCTAGAGATGAAAGTAAATCAAAGTTTATTTCTAACATATAATCAAACTCAGGCGGATATATGATGCAGAAATTAATAATTATTAGGCATGTTTTTGATTGATTATAACGTTAAATGATCAAATTTTGATACTATGTTACATGGAAAATAATATTATTTTTACTAGCTGTTAGCCGCGACTTCATCTTCAACTTTACTCCCTTCTACTTTTGATATAAAATATAACCTGTGTTAACAATATCCGTCCAGCCGTTTAGTCGTTAAAAGGTAATAAATAGACATACATTATTTATGCAAACATTTCTGTAATCATGAGTATGATTGGTTGGCCTGGTTGTTTTATATGTATTTACAAAAAAAACATCTAAGTATTTATGTCAGTTGACGTCGGACTAGATGGCGTTGTGTTAATTGTTCAGGATTATTTATATAAATAAATACATAACCGAAACTCATTTTCGCATTTATGAAATTGGTATGAATTAAAGGAATTTAGAATGATAATCATAGTTGAAATAAACAAGTTATATTACGATAATCTGAAGTGCATTGCTTACAAATATGTACTATCACTGGTAATATTAGTGCATATTGCACTCCCAGACGAGTGGCGCAGTTGAGTTTGAATACGCTATCGGTTAATTTAATGTATTACTTAGTTGTTATGTACTGCGAGAAATATTTACATGAAGAATATTTGCTGGTATCCAAAGGTATGTAAATAATTCGTAATTTTAACTTTACTTCGAATGCCCGGAGGTAATTTGTTACCGTAAACTATTCATTTTATGTAAATAAAATGTGGTAAATAACTATACAGCCCATCTGATTGGTTACCGTAACCAATAGATACCTGAAACATCAGGGGTATCACGTGCGCGTTACCACTTCTAAGAAACCTTATTATAACCTACTTAAAGAACCCCATTCAGTAATCTCTATAGAAAACCTTAGTAGATAGTTAATTCCATAATGTGAATGTGTGCGGGAAGAAATACAAAATTAAATAGGAAAAGAAAGAAAGGTGTTGCCCATAATAGACATATAGATAAAGAGATATTTTCTCATTAATATAGTTCATTCATAGTACATATATGTAAATTAATATTTTTTTCATATCAAACTAAACTGCATTTGCAGAAATTGATGTAAAAATATTGTTTATGTTTTTTATCACCGATAATGATCATTTTAAATGGTTGGATCTTAAAAGTTAAAACTCTTTGTATTTTGCCGACTAGTCAGTTATCAGTCACATGTCTGATAAAATTTAACCTACTTTCACTTGGATATATATAAGATTTGCCGACAAAGGGTATCACAGTTTACAGTACTTGCTCTATTGATTTCTGGGCTAAAGTGTAAGAATGAGACTTCTCACCGGGCAAGAAAAAGATGGTGGAGCTTCAGAATCAGCTCTCATAAAAGGTCTGTGTTAAATATTTTATATATAATATAATATTTCAGTATCCTAAAAGCGGTATAGAATATGACTTTAATCAATTTATTAATTCCTTTACCTTTATAAATAGGGAAATTTGAAAGAGTTGTATTGAAAAGTAAAAGTAAACTTGCATGCAAAGAAGCTATTACGAAATTAAAAAATGAAATATTAAAAGCTAAAGTATATATGTACATACAGTTTTTACGCTCTATTATAACTAAGTAATATTATCCTTTTAAATACGTATAAAGGATCTAGTAATTACTATAGAACCAAGAAGTGAGTAAAACTCTATTGCACATGCAATCATCTAATGAAAAAAAAATAGTTTTACAGAAAGGCATATCACATTAATTACTCGAACTAAATTTATTAGACATGTAAAAAAGTATATAAGTAAGAGGGCAAATAAAAAAAAATTAAAAATGCTGAGATCTCAGAATATCACTGTGCTCTCCCTCTCCCCGTATAGTATTATTATTAAGAACAGAAATGTTACATATGTAAATAGAATAAATAAATAGATAAATAATAAATTTAATGGAGTTTAGTTTGTTTTTAGTAAAATAGAGAACGTATTTTATACTCGGCATAAAATATAATAATGAAGGTTTACGACCAATGTGTGTTGCCAGTGATGACTTACGGAACAGAGACGTGGTCGCTAACTATGGGCCCCATCAACAAGCTCAGAGTCACTCAGAGGGCAATGGAGATGGCTATGCTCGGAGTTACTCTGCGTGATCGAATCAGAAATGAGGAGATCCGCAGAAGAACCAGAGAGACCGACATAGCCCGAAGAATTGCGACTTTGAAGTGGCAATGGGCAGGGCACATAGCTCGTAGGACAGATGGCCGTTGGGGCAGTAGAGTCCTCGAGCAGCGTGGGAAGACCTCCAGCAAGGTGGACCGACGATCTGGTCAAGATCGCTGGAAGGCATTGGATGCGAGCAGCGCAGGACCGATCGTCGTGGAGATCTTTGGGGGAGGCCTATGTCCAGCAGTGGACGTCTTCCGGGCTGCGATGATGATGATGATGAAAATATAATAAATGGAATTAAAATATTTAATTATGTACTCAATCAAAATTACAACCACAGTTATTGCCTATTAGAAGTATATATAGTAAAACATAAATCAATCAAACAATCACTTTATTCGCTGAATATACATATAGGGATGGCAAATGGTAAATTTAACAGTTTCTCTATATTTTGCCCAGGAGTAGTAGACGTTCTAACTTAAATATTTAACAATAATAATAATAATATGGTGCTTTAAATAGTTTATTATGAATATTAATTTCCCTATATTTGCAAATAAAGTATTGAATTTATTTACTTAAGAACATAACATGTAACCACGATTTCTTTTATCTTTTGTTATTTAGTATAATGATAACAAAATGTTGTTTACTCAAGGATATTGAATTATGAAACAGATTTCTTTAGTAACATGAAGGCGTTTCTACTTCGTTCTATACGTAAGATAATGTTGATGATATTATTACAAAATCAAGTATGTAACATATCTCCTTAACATTTTACATGAAGTGAGTTTCTTAAGTATGAGCACTTACAGTTTTTCTAACATTAATGATACTACAATATTTATGTTATAAATATTATACTGTGAATGAAGAAACAATAGTAACTGGCAGTCATTTGTTTTATGTACGCAAATCTTTTTAAATTTATTTCTCAACTAAAGAATGTCACCTTTATTTTCTCATATTTTTCCTGTTGGCACAAGGTGAACTTCTACAGGAATTTTCCAACTCCTGTATAATATTCTGTTGTACCACACACAACAAAGTTACAAACATTTCGTTTTATCTACGCCACGCAATTTCATGTTTATTTTTTCCTCCGCCATGAAAATGAGGCGGCGTGCATTGGTGTCACTTCAAAACTGTACTTCGTTATTTCAATATGACAAACCACGCCTAAAAGTAAGATGTAATTTTTTTTAAATAACAACTACATACTTTCGCTTTAGTCAATATATAATATATAAAATATATAGGTGTCACGGTTAACGTAATATTTGACGTAACCACGTTTCGGTATATTTAAAAACCACCGCGGCTGAGAACAAGGCTACCACCATCTCTCGGATCAATTTATTTTTTGCCGCTGTTTCCATCACCAGAGAATCAGTCTAAAGTATAAATGGTATTTTTTTTTTGATATGGTTTACTGTAGCATATAATATTTTGGCAAAATATACAGCAACAGATAAGAGAATGGTTTGAAATATACGAAGCATTTCTGAAACCATTTAGAAGCTGAACAAATATCACTGCGTTGAAAAGCACTCAGTAATCAAACTGGTACAGAGCAAAGTTAGTCTAAATGAGGGGTATAAGCGATCCCGGAATTTATGTAAGTGAGTTCAGCTGACATTGCAGAAATTATTGTTTGTTCGCTACGATTTCGGCTTTATGGCAACGGACTCATGAATTAGAAACAGTCGCGTAACTTACTGCGATTTTAACTTTAATTATTACAGTTCAGAGTCTATTTTGACCTGCAATTTTTAGTTATAATGACTATTTTAAAGTTATGTATAAAGTTTACAGGGAATTTCGCGAAATTTAATGTGTCTTAGCGTGAATTCCCGGATATTAATTTTATGATGTTATAACTTATTAGTTTTTAGTACATATATTTTGCTTATATAAATTAATAATGGTATATATAATACCTTTTTATATATTTAATTGCATATTCTATATAATATTGCTGAATATTATTGAATTGTTTATAATAGAAGTATTATCATTATAATTAGTAAGGCTAGGTACAGGTAACGTAACCTAGGTTGTATAACTATTATGCATACGTTATGCTTATAAACCGTACAAAAAAAACTCGCGAAATGATAATCAAAAACAGAAAAATACTTAGTGTAATTTAGAAGTAAGTGGGGAAACAAAGGGACTACGTCTATTATTAAGTTTTAATTTACTATAACTGTTACAGTTGTAGACCATAATGTTTTGTAAGTTATTTGCATTAATTGATTATATCAGTCTTGTTCAAATCGCAATATTCTAGACTGCAAAATTGATAGTTAATTTTATAAACAGTGTTAATAGTGGAGTTAAATCTGTAAACTTTTAGAGACTAAACTTTGTCCCCATTGTTCCATAACAAGTTTTTTTCTAATTTATCCATAACAAATTTAATATATAAAAATTAGTATTCCCATTAATTTAATTACATAAAAAATATCTGGCTTCACTTATTCACTTATTTTTTCCATCTAAATAAGCATAATGTCTATGACATAACTTTTTAATTGTATATTATAGGACTATTCTTACAGTTATAATAAAAATAGACAATTAAAAAGTTATGTAATAGACACATAATAAGTGTTAAACTTAAAATTAAATAGACAATTTCTTACTTCAATAACATAAGTATAGTGAAGAATATATTATAGTTACAATAAGAGTTATTATAGTGTCATTGTATACGGAACCAGTGCCCTAGGGTTAATGATCAACTTAACCCTTTACAGTAAATAAGCACGACTGGCATACTGATTGCTGTCGTGTCCCAGATAAGAAATCGCCCGGCTTTATAAGGGTTGAGCAGATAATCTACTGAAAGCATTTCATTACATTTTTCTAAGCTCTTTAGCTTTTAACTATGATACTTTTTCATTCGTTTACATGAAGCGTATTTATTTTTATTGTGTATACTTCTTTAGTGTGCACAATAATAAAAATGTATACTTTTATTTAACACAAAAGATTTAACGTACTAATAATTTTGATGTCTATTTCATTTTATTAAAAATTATCCTCATAGTTTACTACTGTTAAATCTATGAAATAGACATCAAAATTACTAAAACGTCAATTACAATATGTTTTATACAAATGCAATAAATAATAATTTATTCACACGACAGATTAGATTTTACTAGCAATGTATGTAAAAAAAAACTATATCTTATTCTAGCTATGACTTCGTGCATATAATATCCTTACAAATTTGTCCCTACCATTTTATTTAACGAGTCTAGAACTAGAATGGTAATAAAACTGAGGGGCCACCTGATGATAAGTGATGAAGTCGCCTATGTACATGAACAGAGTACTAGGGATATTACGTCATACTTTTACAACGTATACATTGTCATTCCGGAGGACTACGATGTCACGCTTCCGTTCCTTATAAATTTACTGCCATATCTCACAATACAACCAAAACAATTTTTGCTTACAAAGCAATCAGCTTGGAGGTCGAAACAAGT